ATGTGTTTCTGGTATAGCTCATCGTGTGATTTAATATTGTTATTTTTAATGTATATTTCAGTCGTGTAGTGACTCGACATGTGTGTAAGTAGTGTAGTGACTCGACATGTGTGTTAGTAGTATAGTGACTCGACATGTGTGTTAGTAGTATAGTGACTCGACATTTGTGTTAGTAGTGTACCTTATTAATATGTGTGATGCATAAATAAACCTTCAGAAAAGCATTTATGGAGAAAGCAATACATTATATATGTAAACTTACGTTCATGTGACATCAAAAGTTTAACCCAATAAGTAATCATTCGTGCCTTTATACGTATTATTAAAGGGTATCGCCCAGTTTCCCCATATATATACCATACAATTTGGAGTGCTGGATTCAACATGTAAAACAAATTTCAGAAATTTTAAGTGTATACCGTAAATTAAAATACCTTATTTTTCTAAGTACTCCATACATGGCTTTTGATGCTTGTTTAGTTAAATGTGTTTTGGCACTTCTGAAGAAACCACTACGAGACATGATAACACCTACATTGTAAATATTTAAATTCGTTCACAATTTCAATTGGTGCACCTCTATACAAAAATATTTTCTTTGGTATTCTTCCTCTAGAAAAAATTACTATTTTATTCTTGTCTGTATTTACTTGAAGCTTACAATGGTCACAATAATCAGAGAAAATATTCAAAGATCTTTGTAAATCCTCTGGATTATCAGATAATAAAACTGTGTCATCAGCATAAAAAAGTCTAAAAAAGTTAAATATTATCTGCATTTCAATTTCTAATTTTTCATCAAATCTCGTAACCCCTTCAATATTATTCTGCAATAAATAGTTTTCTAAATTGTTAATATATAAAGTAAAAAGAAATTGGGATAAATTTTCCCCTTGTCTTACCCCAAGGTTACACATGAAAAATTCAGAGATATTTTGATCAATATATATCTTCGATTTAATACCACTGTACATATATTTGATAAATCTTAGACATTTACCATCTATACCACTTTTAAACACTTTGGACCACAAACCAGATCGATCGCCAAGCAGCATCAAAGGCTTGTTTAAAGTCAATAAATGCACAATAAAGTTTTTTTCTTACTAAAAGAAACAAATTTACACAAAAAATCTAATATCAATATGTTATCTTTTGTACCATATCCTTTTCTAAAGCCAGCTTGGGCTTCAGTAATCAATTATAATTCATCAGAAAAAGTATCCAAACGCTCACATAAAATACTGGTAAATACTTTTCCTAAACAGCTTAATAGTGTTATTGGTCTATAGTTTTCAGGAAGAGGTGGGTCTTCCTTGTTTTTATAAATTGGCTTAACGATACCAATAAGCCATTCCTCAGGTACAAAACCAGTATCAAAAATCAAATTGAAAAGGTCAATATATAGTGGCAAAAAACATGATATTGTTGTACTAATATATTCGTTACAGAATTGATCATACCCTGGAGCTTTATTATTTTTCAGTTTGTTAACTGCTTGCAAGATTTCTTCTGCAGAGATTTGACAATTTAAAGGGGAGTTATTATCGAAATTGACATCATTATCATCTACATCACCTTCATCATCTTTAGATTCATTATTTTTTTTTCTTCAAAAAATCGTACATTGCTTTGATATCAACTTCAGTTTTACATCTAGCCTTCGAACTATTTAAAATTCTCCAATATTCCTTAATATCACTTTTCTGTAAATTTTCTAATTTTGACGTTATAGATAAAGAATATTCTTTAATACATTTATCCATTGTTTTCATGTATTCTTGTATTTCTTAAACACGAAATAGTGAAGTCATCTTAAATTACTTGAAATATATCATTAAATCAATCATTGCTCTCAAAAGAACTGAAGTGCCAATCAATTATTGCTCTCATCAATTGAATTAATGCGAATTATTGATGCTGGCAAACATTAGAAAAATTAAGGCGCGCATCATTTGAATTGATGAGATCAGTAATTGATTTGATGCTAGCAGCAATTAAATTCAGTCATTCTTCTCATCAGTGGAATTTAACTCGAGCTCCAACAATGTGATGGCATTATTAATATTGCTGAAATATTTAAAATTTCTAACCAATTATCACATGTTTTTTTTATATCATTTCAATTTACATGCTTTATTTGAATATATCTTTAACACAAGTAACATAAAAAGTATGTTAATTTGGCTGGTATGGCAGAGCTTCCATATTTCCTTATATGCTCAAGCATGCACATCGTTTAGTCTCCCCCAAAGTAAATTGATTAAAAAAAATTAATACTCCTTCAGGGCATAGGATACTCAAAATCAAAGGTTGTACATATTTTATCATTGACAAAACCATAATTATCACGAAGTTTGCATAGAAAGCCATCTTCGTATATGAATTTTCTCTTAATTTTTACTTTCATATTTATACTGAAATTCATTGTAGGAACACGATACAAAAATGTTATCACTAAAACACCCTTTTAAATTTTCTGTTTATGTACACGTTATAATGTATTTCATTAACTTATGATTGATTTATCTTCTTTAAAAATTTTTCAAATACTCTATTAATGTAGTACCGAGAAATTTCAGTCGCCCAGTATGCCTACTAGAATACTACCTGCCTACTATTGTACTACAGTATGCCTACTATGCCTATACTAGAATAAGAACAAAAATATATCTATTCTCCAACTTCTTCTGTGAATAAAATGGCTTTGCATCGTCAAAATTCCGGAGCTTTCAGGGACTTTAGTCCTCTGCGCCATCATCTGGGCTTTGCCCTGAATCTATCAAGGGTATTGAGGCGACTTGAGACACCCTGTCCGTTTAGAGAATGCATTTTAGCATTTTCTAGCTAAACCACATGTTTTTTGTTAGATAGCGTATTTTCAAATCATTGAAAGTCTCCCCACCGGTCAATCTGAGCAGTAGGGTGTTAAAACACACTTTCCCAAGCGGTCAGGGAGTCTTCGCATCTTCTTAACTATACATTAGGGTATATGACTATATGTAATCTTTAAGAATTTTCTCTTGAAAATGGTTAAAAATGGAACGGCGAAGTATTTTTATCATTATCATTATTCATTTTTTATCATGTTTTTGCATTGTATATATAGATATTGTACCTCTGAACAGTTTATATGAAATATATATATATATATATATATATATATATATATATATATATATATATATATATATATATATATATATATATATATATATATATATATATATGTTATAAATGTATCCCATGTACTATTATTTTGGGTTGGGTGAATAAACTGAACTTGCACTTGAACTTGGGCGATTATCATTGGGTATTAATGAGAATGAATTATCATTAATACAATTAATTCCACTAACTTTTTGGTTACCCAGATCACGGAATATTTACTGTTTTGAAACTATGATGAATTGACGTTCGACTTTGTTTTTTTACTAACTGACCACACGATTCTTCACACAGGGATTTTTTGGGAAAAATTTAAAGAAAATTCGATGCTGAAAGAATATATATTTCAAACATGCCACTACTCTAAATTTTGAAAGAACTTATAAATCGCAAGTTATCTAGCTTAATGCCGAGCAGCTAATATTGACTGCTGATAATAGCAGTATTGCTTCGGATGCTGCTTTTTCCTTCATTATCAGCAAAAGTGACCATTTAGGTGCTTAGGGAGTAGCTTTTTTCGTAACTTTAACAAGCATTTTGAGAGTATTGCATATGCAATGCTAGCACCCTACCGGCAAATGTTATCTGGTTCTCCTAAAAAATTGAAATGCCCGTAATTCCGTCAAAACTCTTGAAAGCGGAAACTTGATCTGTAACTTAGTAAAGGTAGACTCACATACCAAACATCACTTCAATATTTGCAAGCTGTAGAAAAAGGGCGGAAAATTCAAGTGCCATGGGAAGGACTTACAGAGGGACAGACAGGCAGACAGTTGAGGAAAGAACCGTTTTTACCAGTAGGGGACTAGTTTTTAGCTTAACGAATCTTGCACAGATGTTACATGGAAAGAAAAGATACAAGACATGCTTAGGATACTGCTTGAAATACATTTTCTGAATGAGTGAGAGCATCAGATCAGTTATTCCTCTCATCAGCTGGATTTATACGCGCAACTATTCAATAAAGGAGAGCAATAATTGATTTGATGCGCTTATCAATTGAATCGAAGATAGGCCTATCAATACAGTGGCGGAAAATTTACTCGCAAAGAATCAATTTAGAGATTGTCTTAAAAAAGATTTTTTCCGTTCTTTCATTAAAAGAAAGTATCGTTCATTCCATTATTAATAATAAAAAATGAATTGATGATGTCCTTGATTATTAAAAGATATCTTCAATTATCGACTCTGAGATTAATGTTAATTAGAGTTTATGTTAGACCGGCGCTGTACATGCTGTATACATGTATATGTCAACATGGGAACAGCTCTGATAACATACATTTTTGCCGTATATCCAATCTTTTCCTTTGATCTTGTGTACTGTCTTGTACATACATACACCATTTATATCAGTAATTAAAATAAAATAAACGGTGCAATTAAAAAATTAAACATGATCACTAGCTGTAGCGATTTTCCTGTGTGTTTATAACCTTGTAGTGAATTGACGGTTGAATTAGCTGTACTGATTTGCACGTGTGTGTTCAATAAGTGTAAAAATGTAGTGAGATTCATGTCGAATTTCAATATACTTAAAGTAAAAGATATCAAAAATTCCTATGGATACAGAGAAATCCTAAGGTTAACCTCGGTATATTCTGGTCTTACTTTCTCTTTTTCAAGCCTCTAAATCGGTAAAGCGAGATGAAGGTAAAATTTCAAATGTAGTCAGTTGGCTGGATTTACAAACAAGGGTGTGTGTGTGTGTGTGTGTGAGGGTGTGTGTGTGTTCTACTATTCACCAGCAAAAAAATCTGATACAATATTAAGCGCAAAATATTTGTATCAGAAAAATCCTTTAGTTTTTGAGGAATTTTGGGATAAGAATTTCATGAGATTGATAAGGCGACATTGTTAACTAATAGTTTGACTGTACTGTCATGTCCATTTTTTTTAGCTATCGACAGGGGACTTACATCATCCTTGTTACATAAATTGATGTCGGCACCGTTGTTCAGTAACAGTTGTACCGAGCTATCATGTCCATTTTGACAAGCTATATAAAGAGGACTGTCTCCATCATTATCACATGAATTGATGTCGGCACCGTTGTTCAGTAACAGTTGTACCGTTTGATCATGTCCAAATTGGCAGGCTATATTAAGAGGACTGACTCCATCATTACTATATAAATTAATGTCGGCACCGTTGTTCAGTAATAGCTGAACATTGCTATCGTGTCCAACTTGGCAGGCTATACTTAGAGGACTGAATCCATCATTATTACATAAATTGATGTCGGCACCGTTGTTCAGTAACAGTTGTACGGTTCTGTCATTTCCATTTTGACAAGCTATACAAAGAGGACTGACTCCATCATTACTACATAAATTGATGTTGGCACCGTTGTTCAGTAACAATTGTACCGTGCTATCATGTCCATTTTCACAGGCTATATAAAGAGGACTGAATCTATCATTTTCACATAAATTGATATCGGCACCGTTGTTCAGTAACAGTTGTGCCGTGCTATCATGTCCATTATAACAAGCTATATAAAGAGGACTGACTCCATCATTTTCACGTAAATTGATATCGGCACCGTTGTTCAGTAACAGTTGTACCGTGCTATCATGTCCATTTTCACAGGCTATATAAAGAGGACTGACTCCATCATTTTCACATAAATTGATGTCGGCACCGTTGTTCAGTAACAGTTGTACCGTTTGATCATGTCCATTTTGACAAGCTATATTAAGAGGACTGACTCCATCATTACTATATAAATTAATGTCGGCACCGTTGTTCAGTAATAGCTGAACATTGCTATCGTGTCCAACTTGGCAGGCTATACTTAGAGGACTGAATCCATCATTATTACATAAATTGATGTCGGCACCGTTGTTCAGTAACAGTTGTACGGTTCTGTCATTTCCATTTTGACAAGCTATACAAAGAGGACTGACTCCATCATTACTACATAAATTGATGTTGGCACCGTTGTTCAGTAACAGTTGTACCGTGCTATCATGTCCATTTTCACAGGCTATAAAAAGAGGACTGAATCTATCATTTTCACATAAATTGATATCGGCACCGTTGTTCAGTAACAGTTGTACCGTGCTATCATGTCCATTATAACAAGCTATATAAAGAGGACTGACTCCATCATTTTCACATAAATTGATATCGGCACCGTTGTTCAGTAACAGTTGTACCGTGCTATCATGTCCATTTTCACAGGCTATATAAAGAGGACTGACTCCATCATTTTCACATAAATTGATGTCGGCACCGTTGTTCAGTAACAGTTGTACAGTTTTATCATGTCCATTTTGACAAGCTATATGAAGAGGACTGACTCCATTCTTGTTACGTAAATTAATGTCAGCACCGTTGTTCAGTAACAATTGTATCGTGCTATCATATCCATTTTCACAAGCTATATAAAGAGAACTGTCTCCATCATTATCACACGAATTGATGTCGGCACCGTTGTTCAGTAATAGTTGTACCGTACTATTATGTCCATTTTGACAAGCTATATAAAGAGGACTGACTCCATTATTACTACATAAATTGATATCGGCACCGTTGTTCAGTAACAGTTGCACCGTGCTATCATGTCCATTTTCACAGGCTATAAAAAGAGGACTGAATCTATCATTTTCACATAAATTGATATCGGCACCGTTGTTCAGTAACAGTTGTACCGTGCTATCATGTCCATTATAACAAGCTATATAAAGAGGACTGACTCCATCATTTTCACATAAATTGATATCGGCACCGTTGTTCAGTAACAGTTGTACCGTGCTATCATGTCCATTTTCACAGGCTATATAAAGAGGACTGACTCCATCATTTTCACATAAATTGATGTCGGCACCGTTGTTCAGTAACAGTTGTACAGTTTTATCATGTCCATTTTGACAAGCTATATGAAGAGGACTGACTCCATTCTTGTTACGTAAATTAATGTCAGCACCGTTGTTCAGTAACAATTGTATCGTGCTATCATATCCATTTTCACAAGCTATATAAAGAGAACTGTCTCCATCATTATCACACGAATTGATGTCGGCACCGTTGTTCAGTAATAGTTGTACCGTACTATTATGTCCATTTTGACAAGCTATATAAAGAGGACTGACTCCATTATTACTACATAAATTGATATCGGCACCGTTGTTCAGTAACAGTTGCACCGTGCTATCATGTCCATTTTCACAGGCTATATAAAGACGACTGACTCCATCATTTTCACATAAATTGATGTCGGCACCGTTGTTCAGTAACAGTTGTACAGTTTTATCATGTCCATTTTGACAAGCTATATGAAGAGGATTGACTCCATCAGTTTCACATAAATTGATGTCGGCACCGTTGGTCAGTAACAGTTGAACAGTTTTATCATGTCCAACTTGACAAGCTATATAAAGAGGACTGACTCCATCATTTTCACATAAATTGATGTCGGCACCGTTGTTCAGTAACAGTTGTACCGAGCTATCATGTCCATTTTGACAAGCTATATAAAGAGGACTGTCTCCATCATTATCACATGAATTGATGTCGGCACCGTTGTTCAGTAACAGTTGTACCGTTTGATCATGTCCAAATTGGCAGGCTATATTAAAAGGACTGACTCCATCATTACTATATAAATTAATGTCGGCACCGTTGTTCAGTAATAGCTGAACATTGCTATCGTGTCCGACTTGGCAGGCTATACTTAGAGGGCTGAATCCATCATTATTACATAAATTGATGTCGACACCGTTGTTCAGTAACAGTTGTACGGTTCTGTCATTTCCATTTTGACAAGCTATACAAAGAGGACTGACTCCATCATTACTACATAAATTGATGTTGGCACCGTTGTTCAGTAACAGTTGTACCGTGCTATCATGTCCATTTTCACAGGCTATATAAAGAGGACTGAATCTATCATTTTCACATAAATTGATATCGGCACCGTTGTTCAGTAACAGTTGTGCCGTGCTATCATGTCCATTATAACAAGCTATATAAAGAGGACTGACTCCATCATTTTCACGTAAATTGATATCGGCACCGTTGTTCAGTAACAGTTGTACCGTGCTATCATGTCCATTTTCACAGGCTATATAAAGAGGACTGACTCCATCATTTTCACATAAATTGATGTCGGCACCGTTGTTCAGTAACAGTTGTACCGTTTGATCATGTCCATTTTGACAAGCTATATTAAGAGGACTGACTCCATCATTACTATATAAATTAATGTCGGCACCGTTGTTCAGTAATAGCTGAACATTGCTATCGTGTCCAACTTGGCAGGCTATACTTAGAGGACTGAATCCATCATTATTACATAAATTGATGTCGGCACCGTTGTTCAGTAACAGTTGTACGGTTCTGTCATTTCCATTTTGACAAGCTATACAAAGAGGACTGACTCCATCATTACTACATAAATTGATGTTGGCACCGTTGTTCAGTAACAGTTGTACCGTGCTATCATGTCCATTTTCACAGGCTATATAAAGAGGACTAAATCTATCATTTTCACATAAATTGATATCGGCACCGTTGTTCAGTAACAGTTGTACCGTGCTATCATGTCCATTATAACAAGCTATATAAAGAGGACTGACTCCATCATTTTCACATAAATTGATATCGGCACCGTTGTTCAGTAACAGTTGTACCGTGCTATCATGTCCATTTTTACAGGCTATATAAAGAGGACTGACTCCATCATTTTCACATAAATTGATGTCGGCACCGTTGTTCAGTAACAGTTGTACAGTTTTATCATGTCCATTTTGACAAGCTATATGAAGAGGACTGACTCCATTCTTGTTACGTAAATTAATGTCAGCACCGTTGTTCAGTAACAATTGTATCGTGCTATCATATCCATTTTCACAAGCTATATAAAGAGAACTGTCTCCATCATTATCACACGAATTGATGTCGGCACCGTTGTTCAGTAATAGTTGTACCGTACTATTATGTCCATTTTGACAAGCTATATAAAGAGGACTGACTCCATTATTACTACATAAATTGATATCGGCACCGTTGTTCAGTAACAGTTGCACCGTGCTATCATGTCCATTTTCACAGGCTATATAAAGACGACTGACTCCATCATTTTCACATAAATTGATGTCGGCACCGTTGTTCAGTAACAGTTGTACAGTTTTATCATGTCCATTTTGACAAGCTATATGAAGAGGATTGACTCCATCAGTTTCACATAAATTGATGTCGGCACCGTTGGTCAGTAACAGTTGAACAGTTTTATCATGTCCATTTTGACAAGCTATATAAAGAGGACTGACTCCATCATTTTCACATAAATTGATGTCGGCACCGTTGTTCAGTAACAGTTGTACCGAGCTATCATGTCCATTATAACAAGCTATATAAAGAGGACTGACTCCATCATTTTCACATAAATTGATATCAGCACCGTTGTTCAGTAACAGTTGTACCGTGCTATCATGTCCATTTTCACAAGCTAAATAAAGAGGACTGACTCCATTCTTGTTACATAAGTTAATGTCAGCACCGTTGTTTAGTAACAGTTGTACCGTAATATCATGTCCATTTTGACAAGCCATATTAAGAGGACTGACGCTATCGTTGGTACATAAATTGATGTCAGAGCCATTGTTTAATAAGCAAATAATGGTTGCATTACGTCTTTCTCCCTTATCTGTATCTATTCCGGCTTCTTTCATATGTTCGTCGTCATTTGCAGCAGTTAATGATAATGGAGACCACCTGTCATCAGTTGTTAGCTTGTTTACGTCAGCACCGAATCTTACCAATTCCCCAATTATTGAAAAATTATAAAATACAGAAGCAATGTGAATTGGTAAAAATGAATTCCATGTTTCGATCATTGCTGATTTTTTATATTCCTCACTGAGAAAATTTAATAGGTTTAAATCGCCATTCGCACATATAGCAGAGAATATTGGATATTCTTTCAACTTAGTTTCAGGGATTGTGTTTAAGAAAAAAGAAGAAATATCATTATGACAAAATACGATAAGTCCGACCAAAGGACATATTTCACAGTACAAATCAAGGAAACCAAGCCTTGACAATCCAGTGCCTTCAAATGATTTTGAAAATTCCGATCTGTCTATTTCACATTTAATTCTGACAAGAAGCTTTCCGGGTGAATCAACTTTTTCCTTAAAAGATTTGATCACATTCTTTTTCCTTAAACATGGATTGAGCAGAACATCTACAAGGTGTTGTGTTTGCATGTCAATAATAAACCTGTCCACAAGATCTCCAATGTATTCTTCAGGCAGGTAAACAGTGAAGGGATCTCGATCTTTCTCTTCTGTATCGTCGTCTATTCTCATCCGACGTCGCAGAAAACTACTGTCTGCGTACTGTATTGTCTCTTTTGGGCAATCGACACCAAGTACCAATGTCGATATTTCCATGATGAAATCGTGAAGGAATTGGAAAGTATGTCCGACACATTTGACCAGTGACCCTTTAAGTTGATGGAGGGTACTGCGAATGACTGCTATATTTGTATTTTCTGATAGTTCACATATTCTTAAAATGTCTCTGTATTTCTGGAAAGAATTGTCCTTGCCTCTGATGGTTTCAACATTCAAGTTATTGTTAAAAACCACAATCAAAATTAAGCCGCAATATTTCTTTTTATCTAATTCTTTCAAACGTACGATGTCCTTTTTCATGATTTCAAAGGGGTGTTTAAATAAACATATTCCTTTCTTTTTGTAAGTTGATTCATTTGAAAACAATTTACAAAGCAAGGGAAAATAAGCTTCTGATCTAATAATTTCTTTGATATTTTCCTCAGACAAATGCATATGTTGACAGTATTTATTTAGGATCTTTCTTTTCTCTTCCGCTGACAGTTTCCATTTCTCGCTGTCAATTTCTACTATGTTTGAGTCCTTTTTGAGAATTCCTTCTAATCTTTTGTCATAAATGACACATCTCCTACATGACACTAATAATTTTACCTTCTTTAAGCAAGTCGCTAGCGTGTTCTCATACGTTTTCCATGAATTATATGAAACGTCATCTAATGACTCCTTACCAATAGGATCATTTAGAACAAACAATATTCGATTATTTTGCGATATTTCAAGAGAACATATTTCTTTTATTTCTTTTACCTCATCGACAGGTTTGATATTCCATCCATTTTCTTCAAACTTCAGTGCGATGTGTTGAATAGTTGCAGTTTTTCCGCATCCAGAATTTCCGACAACCGTTACCAGGTTTTGACTTTTAATTTTTTCTTCTACAAAATTACATGCGGTTGTTGGGACAAACTGTGAGTTATCTTCTCGCCAACTTTTCAAGATATCTTCAATTAGGGTTGTACCTACAAATATTGAAAAAAAAAGTATAATCAAAAGATATTTTGAAAATGTTATTACTTTCATGCATGACATTCCTCTTTTCATACTATAGTTGTAAACAATGTAATACGCTAGGAAAATATGTCTTTAACTATTCTCTTTATAGAAGAAATAATTTAAGCAAATAAACCTACACGTTAATGAGAAATTGCATTACTTTGTATCTTGTCTGATATATATCTTCTTTTGTTTCAAATCTTAATGAATGTGTATATAATATTTAAATTTGTTATTGATTAGGTGAAAATAATTTGTTTTTTCTTATTTTCTCTCAATCTATGTTTAGTTTGTTTCAGAAGCCTAAAGTTCGCAGGAGGGCCTAGAGTATGCATTGTACTACAGGAAACTACTAGTCTAAGAGGATATGTATAAATTGGAAGTAGATATAATACCAATCACTGCATTTATTGACAACAAGAGTGTTTGTGAGGCATCACTTTCTACAAAAATGGTGGATGACAAACACCTTAGAATTGACATAGATGTAATAAGTGAATTAAGAATAACAATAATGTACAGGTGAAATGGTGTCCAGGAAAAGTGCAGCTAGCCAATTGTATGACCAAGCGTGGAGCAAATGGTATGGAGCTTAAAATTCTCCAGACAGGGAAGATGCCAGAAGAATTTGTGTGAACTTTTTTGATAGACATTGCATGAAATATATGAAGATAACGAACAGTATTCAGGCTCAAAAGTCCACCAAACAATACAAAATAGGAGCAGAGCAAACACCAGAGGTGGGATCAGGTGCCATGGGGGAGTGAGCATCCCCTGCCGACCGGTCACACCCGCCGTGTGCTCCTTGTCATGATCGGGAAATAACGAAAAAATCCGTCGACAATTCAGTGTGTAAATAATGGTCTAACAATTCTCAAATACATCTCTATGCTAGAGGGGCAGAATAATTCCCTGGTGAACAGAGCATAGTCTAACCCAATGAGAATCATTATTGTCAATATAAATACATGTAAATATTAAGTATAATGATTTTCATTGACCATGTTGATATGTTAAATCTCTTTATTAACAACTCCATCAAATATCCTCGAAAAAGGAATTTATAGTAAATGTTAATATGTTCTAGAACATACATCAAGAGAGATAACTCTGAGTGTAGAACTCTTCTGTGATTAGAGAAAGTATTGGTTGTTTTGTTGATGTGTCTGAGTAAAGTATGTGTGTGAAAAGAGTGTGTTCACTGTTGTGATTGGTTGGTTATCCCTTGAAAATATTCATTAAGATATAAGATGCCAATTTTTCATTATAAGACAAATAAAAATTAAAAATAAGAAAAAAAACATACTTTGTTTTAGAGTTTCAATTGTATATTGTATGATGTTGGTACGGGATCAGAAGGGCGTTATAGGATTTTATCATGTGATCTGCTTTATTTCATATCCCAGTGAATCTCTAAAACTGATATTATTTCTTGAAATATTTTTTTTCAGAAATTGCGATATATTTATACAATATTTTCCAAAAAAAAAAAAATTCTCAATCTATGATACTGTAAAATCATTATTGTTTGTGGGGGACCAAAGTTCGTGGATTTCGTGGGTCACTCTAATCCAAGTATTACATCCCATATATTCATTGAATTGTCTCAATAAACCATTTACGTACGAAATTACGTCCAAACGAACAGAATTTTGCTTACCCATGAAGATTAACCCCATCGAATTAAAATGTTACCACAGAAGATATCTCTATACATACATCTGATCAAATGATCGACATACAACTGTACGTTGTTTTGTTTTGGATTTTGGAAGTCGTTGTCAAACCCTCTTCACTCAGCTGTTAAAAGTTCTGAAGTTTTCTAAAATTGTCCATTTTTGTCTCTATTTCTATTTTTAGGAACGGAATTTTTTTTTTCATAAAAGAGGCTGTTTCATATCGGATTTTAAATATCTTTTCTTCTCATCAATTTCGAATACAATTTTTAATCAAAAAATGTAATCTTGTCAAATATAAGTATACATCATCTGCTTCATGGGTGTCTGTGTTTCGAATTCTACGACTAACCTCCTTCACTCCGGTCTTCATTTTCTTTCTTCTGTAATAAAGCTTCCATTTCTGAATATTGACTCTGCAGTAAATTCATCCTAATTCCTACAGAAGGCAGCTTATTTATTAATAAAATACATTAAATGCTATTTGTTTTCTTTTGAATATTTTTAGATTTAAAATTTCAAAAAAGAAACTAATCAATGTTTTTCAAAACTTTTTGTTTTTTAAATCCGTCTCCATATTTTCCCCATTCTATATAAACGACATTATCTTTACATGGATTTAAAAAGAATAAGGAAAACTTACCTCCAGTTTGCTTTTCATTGGAATTACGAGAACGTTTTCGTTTCCAAACAAAACATAAACAGAGCACTATAACGACAAGTACAGCTATTACCAAGGGTATCGCTATCCAGTTTTTGCTACCAGAAGTATTTCTGAGACTGTTTGAGATGTTCCATGGAAGCGTGGCATTGATTGTAGGAGAAACAGTCGTGACATCCAGGTTACTACAAAAAAATTGTTTGTTTTTTTTTTTTTTTTGGTTTTACTTTTTTTGTTTTGTTTTTGTTTGTTTGTTTGTTTGTTTTTGTTTTTGTTTTTTTGTTTGTTTGTTTGTTTTTTTTTGTTTTTTGTTTTTTTTTTTTTTTTGGGAAGCAAGGTAACCTGTTTGTGTCATTCTGTTTTTAATGTATAGGAAGGAATTGTATAATCTACAATACATTCATATTTCATTGTAGACGTACCTGCTTAAAATAGGACAGGCGGGGTCAGCTAGATAACATCTGTTTTGTTTATTGATTTTTGTGCAAGCTGGAACTAGAGAAACAAAACTCAGCTTATATATAGAGAACATCAGTCATGAATATTTCATTTATTTAACAGATAAATGAAAATTTCTCCTTCACAAAGATTTCAAATCAAAGCTTAGAATTAACAAATTAATAGATACATTCCATAAAAATTATACTTATTTCATTAAATTTATGAATAAATGAAATACGAAACAGCACTTAGTATCATATACATCCGAAGAATTAACTGTAATCTACAAATGACCGTTGTACAATACAAAAACATATTTTGTAATTTTTTTATGGGGGTGTATTTCCATTTTAGGGGAAAAGATAGCAACAATGAGAACCCAATAGATTATGACAAGACAAAGTTCTGTAAACCGATATAAAGTTTTTCTCTTGGGGATGATCAATAGGGTTATTCGTGCAAAAGATTAAGTACCATCACTAGATACTACTGGTATATTTATGACTCTAACGAAATACGTTAATTATTTAAATGCTTTCTTTATCTCCACTAAATATAACATAACATCCTGATGAAAGAGATATGCTGTCTGCATGTAATTCCCCACCCTCTCTCCCATTGAAACACTTTTTTTGTTGACTTTACAATATGCATTCATTCAATAATATATATTGGGCTCACGGCGGGTGTGACCGGTTAACATGGGATTTTCTCAAAAATACTGTCTCTTTATATTTCACACAGTATGGCCCAATACCAGCGCACTTACTTAAATGTTTCTTTATCACTTGAAATATATTTTGTTGACATTTGTTCCAGTAGCATAATTTTATTGGTCAATATTATATTTCTTTTTATTGCGTAAATATGCTTTCACAAGATTAGCAACTGTGAAGCGCCTAACTATCAAAATGGCCTTACTAACTTTTAAAAGTTTTTGAACAGATTTTTACAGATAATCCATTTCCTCACAGATCGCCCTCGTCTTATGCAGAGTCTCTATCATTCAAATACCGTCTGCCCCATGTATACACACATGAAGGCTCGCTTTTGACATACAGTACCGACCAGACACAACCTAACAGAAAGCGAACCCAGAGCGCACCCCGGGTTCGCTGTCTGGGTTCGCTTGGGGTCCGCTAGTGCTGACCTCGAGCGAACCCAGAGCGGACCCAGAGCGAACGCTGAAAGCGAACCCCAAATTCAGTAGCGGTCCCAGAAAGCAAACGCGCGTTCGGTGTTGCGTAACAGAGCTGTAAATCAGGATTAGCGATTAACTCATCAGCGCATCGACCAGTCAACATGCCAAACATTGTACAAGCAAAGCGTGTGAATGTACAATGTAAAAATAATATTAATATGATTTTTAAACATGATTTTACCTTTATATATTTTAATTTACAGACAACATGCAATATTTAAACATCTATTTTCATTATTTTTTATTTTTAAAATCTATTAATACATTATATATTTTTATTATGCAGGTAGCATGTTACATGTATAGTACATATTTATTTTCTTTATATTTTTGAAATCCATTAATATATAAATATACATTGCGTAAATTTATCAGACAATAAGTACTTTAATTCATAATAGAAAAAAAGAAGATAATAATGGTTATAACAATTGTTACTTTAAAAAAAGAATAAAAAAAATGGTCTTCGATAAATTATAGAGTTTTATTATTTCAAGATACAGTATAAGAACATGTACGTGCTTTAATTTAATTATTTATTTTTATTTATTATTTCAATTTAAATGCACGTTTTCATTTATCCAGATCAACATCCAAATTATCGATCTAAATAATTGATCATGAAAAAAAATTAAATGTACATTGTACAGTATAAATGTGCATTATGTCAATACGTAAATTGGAGGAAAAAATCTCATTTTTTTAACTACTATCATATATTTTTTTTAATTAATCTTTTACCAAAATTTAATAAATAGCTTGATTTGAATACATGTATATAGGGAAAGATTATTTTGTCAATTCTAATTATCCTACATGTAGACCTTACATTGTATGTTTTTGAATTTTTATAACTACTTGCAAGTTAGTCAAAGAAAAAAAACGCAAAAATGCTTATTACTTTTCTTCGCGTCGATATATATTATTATACAGGTTTACATATTCACGAACCTCTTACATGTACTACATGTAATTTTCAAAATACTTTATACGGATAAAAAAAAAAAAAAAACACGACGGGTACGTTTTGTACTTGTGCATGAAAAGTACACGTAATTCCAACATTAGTAAATTGAACTCGCAAAGATACCTTAATACGAAAATGTTCGTATATTTTTTCATCACATAGGTACCTATATTTGAACTTTGTAATTGTCATAATTATTTAATTTTAACACTTTAATAATTATAGTTTCAAAGTGAAGCCACGGTCATCACGTGTCGGTAATCATCCACCTGTTTCGAAGATATTCCGGGTACTAAGAGCAATTGCGGTGGGTTTTTTTTAATTGACACTTGCTAGCTTGATGTATACTGTCTCCATGGTCATGGTATATCTGAGTATATACTCCCCCTACATTCGATGCCCATTAAGTTACATGTACCTCGTCTGGGCACGTTATCAATAAGAAATTTAATTATTCTTATTTATTTATTTTTTTTTTTTTTTTGAATTTGGAAACGTCATAGTTCTTTGGTACGTTGCATGAAGAGTACATGTTCATGTAATTTGCTGCCACCTGAATGCTGAAAATCAATAAAGATAGCTTTACGAGAGAGAGAGAGAGAGAGAGAGAGAGAACATTGTATATTTTTTGAAATTAAAATCGCTACAACCGGCCCATAGAAAACAATTCGAGTACGGAGAGGGGTGGGGGCTCATCGAAATAAAACAATAATAAAAAAAAGTGCTTAAAGCAAACCCGGAAAGCGAACGCCGGGTTCGCTCTGGCGGACACAGAGCTGAACCCGAGCGAACGCAGAACGAACCCGAAGCGCACCCAGAGCGGTCCCAAATTTTCTGAAAGCGGACCCACAGCGGACCCCGAGCGAACCCAGGAAGAAAACCCGGGGTGCGCTTTGGGTTCGCTCTGGTGTTAGGTTGTGTCCGGTCGGTACTGTATGTCCTACTTCCACCAACATTTTCAGAGTTGTTTTTTTTTTTGGAGTTTTCCAGAGTACAACACTAAATTGTATCGTTAACTGCTACTCCGTGACGTCCTACGACTTATTTTTTTTCTCTTTTTAATGAGGACTGCCCGTCTTCTAAAATTGATTTCTTTTCAACGAAGCAAAATATTAAGTCGTAAATCTGAATATGATACAATGTAACAGTTCTTAATTTGAACATCTAAGATTTTTCTGTTTTTGCGCCATTTTACAGAGGATATGACTATAGACATTAATTTGTGTATTGATTGTTAATTACGAAATTTTGACTTGCCCTGCGATCCGATTTTGGCATTTTTTTTTACTTCTAAATAAGTTTGAAATAAATCACGATAATAGAGAGGTTAAGCATTTGACCGTGTGCGCCTACATGTACGTGTAAACCTAGAAGTGTTTTTACAAGCACGCGTAACTAACATCGTGTTCTGTTTAACAAACTGTGCGTGTAGCGGTACTTGTAAAACATCATTTCAACAGGTTACTTTTCAATCCATTTGTATCAAATAATTCTATGACTTCGATTAAAAAAGATACAAAGATGTACGTAATAAACTCTCAACAAACACCGCCTGAAAAATATATATTCTATAACCTGAGTTTACGAAGCTCCACGTTCTTTCATACGTGTACATATGAATCTACACGTTATGTACAACTTGTTGAATTACGCTCTATGCAAAACTGATGACGTAGATCGCAGTAAATTAGGGGATTTCCCTACCTACACCTACACGTAGACGTACATGGTCATATGATTAACCTCTATATTTTTAAAAAAAATATACACGTCATATGATTTTTTTGTTGAAACATTTCTACCTAATTTGGGTAAAATATGACTTTATGTAAAAATATTATGACAGTAGTCTACGCACTTTTCGATCAACCCTCGTATGTGTGTAAATAATATAAAAGAAATGTTATAAATGAATAAAACAAAAATATATTATTAATAAATATCCTTAGATTTAAATGTCACGGAAACCTGAACACAAAACCTCAGTGCAAATGCATGCTATAGGAATTCAATGTCAAAATAATGTTTTACTCAATGCCATTGAAGATAATTTTATGGCTTTATGTATGAAATATGAAGATAACGAATTATGTATTTATGTTAAATAATTTTTTGTCTTTAGAAATGCTCGATCGTAAAACACTCACATTTCAGCATCAATTTGGATTGGTAGTGCTTCTTGGGACAGCCTTCAGTAAAATGTAGACATGATCGGTTGTTTAAAAATCCGGATTGTAGAACCATGCAATTACCTGTCAATCAAGAAATAAGAAATACATGCTCAAATAATCCACAGAAATTATATACGAGTGTATTTAAACGCATTAATTATTTTATTTATTGACATTGAACTCTTAACGAGCTAAAATCTGATTGTTATTTTAAAAAAATGCAGTAGAGGAAACACTGCAAAAAGAATAAAAAGAAAACTATAGAGTACATGAACTGTACGACTTATAGTTCTATAAGAAAATATACAGGCATTGTTGTTCAAGAATAAGTTCTTTTTTGTTTTTGTTTTGAAAATAAAATTACAAAACAGTCCATGTTACCCTTTTCAATCATAAAGCTGGTTTGGTAACACAATTCCACAAGCTGAGACAAGTCCGACAGTGGTAGACAATGATATATGTTTTCAAACTTGTCAATTTCAGAACAGTTCAGTCTTTGGGAAGCATCTTCAACCTCGGAAATGTTTCCCGGACAACTATCTACTGTAAAAACAGTTCCCCTGGATTGTATTATAGGCATCTATAAAAGTTAAAGTAAAATACATGTATCTGATCATTAAACAGAATATATTTTGCATTATATTTTATAGCATGTATCACATAGACCAGAAATGGCAAGTTTGGAAAAGCACTACACATTTTTATGCTGTTTTGATAATCTGAACATAAATCATTAATAATTCATATCTTTTTCTCTTTGTTCACTCTGTGCTTCTTGTCCAAAAATCCCTATTCAGTCTATTTAACACTTTCTTTGTGAAGTAATGTTGCCCATGCATATACTTACCATATCTACTTATTAATTTTCAAAAATAAATTAAAAAAAAAATAATTGATAAATAAAAAATAAATGACCTCCATGTTACCAAGCTGAGGAGACTAAAGCAATCATTTTTTGGTGCTCGATGGAATTACAATGTCAAATCAATACACTGTAAATAAGGAAAACAGAGATGAGAGTTCAGATAAAGTTACAATTAGTAAAAACTGGAGGCTTTTATTATTATTATTATTTTTATTATTACTATATATATATATATATATATATATATATATATATATATATATATATATATATATATATATATATATATATATATATATATATATATATATATATATATATATATATATATATATATATATATATATATATATATATATATATATATATATATATATATATATATATATATATATATATATATATATATATATATAAAGCTTTAAAACATATTTGAAACAAATTTAAATGTAGGGGAAGGAATTTTTTATCCGAATTTTTGTATTATTTAAAAAACAGGCAATATTTTAAATTTCATTAATTTTTTTTTTTTTTTTATTTTTCAGATCCTTAAATATTTTTTTTTTAGACTTAAATGAAGTTCCATTTAGTACCTTTGATAAAATACAATTTGAATGTTTCTGATTTGTTTTTTTTTTTAAATACTTATTTAAAGATCAGTTAAAAATTACGAACACCATATGTTTGATATAGTCTTGAATTTGATTTAGATCAATTGGCTAAAACGAAGGAGACAACTAAAAAAAAATTAAATTGAAGATACAAGGTATTTTCAATCTTGAAGATACAAGGTATCTTCAATCTTGTTGGATTCAACATTTTGTACTTTATTTTGGTTGATAGAATGACCTTGAGGTAAATCAAATGTTAATTCTAAATTTCCCCCAAGAATTTAGAACTTTGAGAGGTTACAAGCATTTTTATTCAATTCGATTACTTGGATGGTGTATGTGTAATAGTGTAGCTATCTTATCGAACCCCAAACACTCTTTGTTTATTTTAAGGTCATCCAACAGTATCACAAAAACTAAATCTGGTTAAAGTTAAAACATAGCAAATACATTTTTTTTTTTTACTGTTTTTCGTAAATATAATACAAAAATAATATATGTCACTTCTCCATTTTAATGTTGTCCTGTTTAAAAATATTTTAATGACTCTTCATAATAACATATTGTAGTAAAATCGTCGTCGATATTGATTTTTTTTATCGTGTAAAGCTACCCTGATCGTTAAAAAATTCCTACTGTAGACTTCCGATGATAGTTATCCCTCAGTTTATAAGAAATCCCTATTAAAATACTTACATATTTTAAGAATATAATCCATGAGAAAAATATCCAGGACATGGTTACTAAGATTTAGAAATTTTTGTACATTTGATAATCATTGTAAGAAGAAATATTTTGAACATACCCCTGTTAAATATTTGAGATCGGCAATGATGGGTTTTTAAATCTATAACGATGATTGGACTATCCTAAATTTACAATACCCATTGTACTAGATGAATAACATCTTTATCAAGTCCTTTAAAGCGTAATGATCGTCTTCATATTAATGAATGCAGTGTTCTAAGTCAAATAATGTAATTCCAGAGATAACGTCATCTTTTAAACAAATAGTTTGGTAAAATTGCGTTTAAAAATCTGCATATCATCTTTAACGATACGAGAAAAAGCCATAGGACAATTATGTGTAAATATTTCTTAATGATGAAGTATTTACAGTTTGTGAAATCTATAGCGCAGTTCAGTTGGATTTTTTTTTTACTTAAAAACAAACTTTTAAACTGTCTGTATCTATAATATGTCTCTGGAGAACACTGAATCAAGAAAAAATAATTTTGATGATATCCTGTAAAACAAGGGACGTAAATAACGTATTTTTTGGATAAAATATAACACTTTAATCAGGGTTGAGAATGTGGCCTTAACCTTCCAGAATAACAGTCATTAGACAGGCCTAAAATGTAATAAATGTCGAATAATTATAAAATAAGAGACTCAGATTGCAAAATTGATGAACACCTCTATCGAGTTCTCTGTATCTTAAGTTAAACCTTAAAGGCAACCTACCTTATCCACTGGTAATTTTTCAAGATAGTCTTAATTTGTATCATCAGATATTCTTATAAAAAAACATCAGCATACTATACCGGGGATTTAAAAAGATATCAAATGATGAAAATCCCTATTTTCAATGACAAATATATATGTAAGTGACTGATTCAACATTTCGTTTAAGCTTTTATTTTCTCAAATTTGTTTCAGAAGAGTTCAAAAGGATAAAAAAAAAAGTGGTACACAGGTCATTTATATGTGGAACTTCAGTTATTGAAAATAAGAAAATAAAGTTCAAAACTACGTTGATGTGTTCTTGAACAAAAACTTGCTAGTGAAATCCTTTGAAGGAAATATAAGAATGTGTATTATGTTTGTCAATTTGAATCGCTGTTTTCTACGAAGTAAATATAAAAAAAGTCCACCTATTCCACGAGATATAGATTTTTTTTCTTCACAAATATTTTTTGTACTAAAGTATGCAAGTGTGTTGTTGAACTTTAATTTAGCACAAAAACCATTCATTAGTAAAGAAAAAAAATCTGTATCTTGTGGAATAGGTGGAATTTTTTTTAAAAGTACAATAAACAGATAGAATAAGAATACAAATGCAGATTCTTATGTCATCAGTATAAACGAGCGGGACTTTCTTATCATGTGATGGAGATTATTTTTGTTCTCTTTAAGTGGACCTATTCATGATCAGATAAGATTCAACGCCATCCAGAAATTGGACGCCAGTTAAAAATATTTCAGGCAGGTCATACTTTAACATTTCAGTGACTTTGCGAGAAGGGAATAATAGTTTCAGTTACAGTTCTCAAGATGTAATATAAAAAGTGTGACAAAAATAGTCAGTATACCATGTGTAAATAGAATCAGGGCATCTGCACCGGTTGTACGAGATTTCTACTGGAAATGATTCTGAATCAAGGAACACATGGATTTTGTTTTTTACATAATGGAACCAAATTTTGATTTGACATAAATATGGATTTTGTAGAACACTGAGTTCTGAAAACTTCTAAAAACTAAAGAACAGTCATCTTAAGGTATTCAATGTATAATGACCATATTTTGTATCTACTAAATGAACAGTCCTATATTTGTAATTATGGTATCATTTTGATGGTGTGAAATAAATATACTCCAACAAAGAAAAAAATAAAGATTATTCTCTAATTAATTGCAACTTGAATTTTACATTGAAGTCTATGGGCAATGCATTTGTTATTAAGATATTGTAAAATGTCATGTGAAAGGAATGTAAGAGTTATGACATATTTATGGTTCCATTATGTAAAAAACAAAATCCATGTGTTCCTTGATTCAGAATCATTTCCAGTAGAAATCTCGTACAACCGGTGCAGATGCCCTGATTCTATTTACACATGGTATACTGACTATTTTTGTCACACTTTTTATATTACATCTTGAGAACTGTAACTGAAACTATTATTCCCTTCTCGCAAAGTCACTGAAATGTTAAAGTATGACCTGCCTGAAATATTTTTAACTGGCGTCCAATTTCTGGATGGCGTTGAATCTTATCTGATCATGAATAGGTCCACTTAAAGAGAACAAAAATAATCTTCATCACATGATAAGAAAGTCCCGCTCGTTTATACTGATGACATAAGAATCTGCATTTGTATTCTTATTCTATCTGTTTATTGTACTTTTAAAAAAAATTCCACCTATTCCACAAGATACAGATTTTTTTTTCTTTGCTAATGAATGGTTTTTGTGCTAAATTAAAGTTCAACAACACACTTGCATACTTTAGTACAAAAAATATTTGTGAAGAAAAAAAATCTATATCTCGTGGAATAGGTTTTGAACTTTATTTTCTTATTTTCAATAACTGAAGTTCCACATATAAAGGACCTGTGTACCACTTTTTTTTTTTATCCTTTTGAACTCTTCTGAAACAAATTTGAGAAAGTAAAAGCTTAAACGAAATGTTGAATCAGTCACTTACATGTATATTTGTCATTGAAAATAGGGATTTTCATCATTTGATATCTTTTTAAATCCCCGGTATAGTATGCTGATGTTTTTTTTAATAAGAATATCTGATGTTTTTTTTAATAAGAATATCTGATGATACAAATTAAGACTATCTTGAAAAATTACCAGTGGATAAGGTAGGTTGCCGTTAAGGTTAAACTTAAGATACAGAGAACTCGATAGAGGTGTTCATCAATTTTGCAATCTGAGTCTCTTATTTTATAATTATTCGATATTTATAACATTTAAGGCCTGTGTAATGACTGTTATTCTGGAAGGTTAAGACCAATTTAAGACGATTATACGTCGAATAATTAACCTAATGAATAGCATTTCTTGGAATTAACCCCTAATTATTTGTTTGCTAAACATGTTTTGCTTCATAGTTGTACCTAACGATGTTTGATGTGTTTTTAAAGCTGAAATGGATAGGATGGGTAAAGGGTTTTCAAAGTAATAGATGGAAATTTCCTTTAACAATCCTTTTTCAAGAGCAACGAAACTTTATTTAGTCAGACGTGTATAGAAATGTCTGCTGTACTTGTATATGAAATATTAAGATAACGAACAGTAATCATGCTGAAAAGTACATTGAAACAATACAATTCAAGAAAAGAGCAAACACCGACCTCTAAAACATCA